ATTATTTGTGTTTTTCTTCCCCCCAACCCACCCCTCGTGCCTTTTCTCTCCATCTTCATTGATGAGGTGCTTTCTGGGGAACTCTGCAGCCATAGCTCCTGGAAATATCAGTAATGATTCGAGCGTTTGCTCACATTTTATAGGGTTGTATTCAGTTAGGCTTTATGTCACTAGAATTCATGGCTAGAGACAATGAGGGTGACATTATTAGTGATATTTAAAAAAAGAGACATGTTATGTTTTCACTGCACATAAAACCTATGATATAAAATATTAGGATGTAAAAAAGTCTTTTCTCTGACATCATTATAAACAGAATAAGTTAATCACCATTTCTTATATATTTTAAAATAGACCACTATGGAGAAGGACCAAAATCTGTAAAATATGCTCCCAAATAGATCATCTGCACTGAAACCTTAATTTGCTCCTTTATTGAAATGTATCATTTCAGTCTGCAGCATCATGGTGATAATATGCAGCCCAACAACCCAGCTGACAGCTCAGAGTGCTGTGTTAGAATCCGATGTAGAGAAGCTTTTAAAAGAGGAAAGTCCATCAAGGCCCATTTTGTTCTCACCGTCCATAGACAAAACCAGGAAGAATTCCCGATGTGATATTTTACATAGACCAGGCTGCTGGACTCTGGCAGAACTATCCTAAAATGTTACTTATCTTCTGTGAAATGAACTACATGGCTGAAGTGTCAATCAGCACCCTGATATAACTGCTCTCACAGCTCCTTGTTTAGTTCAAATGGTCTACGTTCATCCTATTGAGGGGGCAAAAAATCAAAGGAATTTATGTGTGTAATTTTCTTTGAAAGTATATTGATTATCTCTCAGATATTTTCTATTTTTCTATCATATTAATTTATACAGAGGTAAATGTAAGCCATGCGGCTTTTAATTTATGACTAAAACAAGTAGTTAAACTTGTGTGGGTATGTTACACTAATTGACCAAGGTACTCTACGAAATGAGTGCTGATCATCTTGCTGATTTATAGGTTTTTACTTACCTTTTGCCTCCATTTACATTTTGTATAGCTGAACTGTCCATTCTTTAGATTAAATGGAAATGCACTAAAGGAAGGACTATTCCATGCCCAGGAGAGTCTGTGAGTCTTCTCAGTACCATTTTCTGTTGGTAATCAGAAGGAGAAATTTTATTCCATTTTTATCACTCATTCTGAAGATTGATAATGTAGTTGTGAGGGGAGCATTATTTATGCTACGTGCTTATTATTTCTGCTGCTCCCAACTTGAAGCATAGCGTGTGTTTTTCTGAAGAATGTTGGTACTTGATTATAATCATAGCGGCATCTCTTTTGATAGGCAATTTCACTTTGGAGAATAGGTGTGAGAGTTTTAGTGTTTTGAATGTAAATCCGATCAATCCCGTCGCACCTTATGCGGCGTGTGAATGATGAATAAGGTTTATTATATCCTGTTCATTAAAATACAGAAAACTTCCCAGCCATATTGATGTTGTGCTTTCACTGGTTTTGGATGTGCTTTTCTCTTTCTTTCCCTGGGTAAGGCATGGATAAAAGCCATGTTCAGAATCTGAAAAATAATGATTAATAAATACTTATGGAATTAGTAACTGAGTACATGATACATCCAGGGGTGGTATTTTAGGCTGTTCTGTTTCTGGACATGATACATTTTTAATAGTAGTGTATGACTGGATTCATCAGGTGCATATGCCAAGGCATTTAATGGAAAATAGCATTAGTAAATAGGACACTGAGGTGGTCCGATCCTCCTCCTGGAGAGTAAATCTACAGAGTGCATTAAAAGGCCAGCATAGAGTTCAGTGTTTAGCACCCTTGCCCGCTACGTGTAGGGTCCTAAGTTTTAGCCCCAGTACTGCAAGCCAAAATCAAATATCCAAGTGTGGTGGTTGATGCCTAGAATCTTAGCATGTGGCAGGTTGAGACACAGGAGTCTCAAGTTCAAGGCCAGCTAGGGAAACTTGGTGAATCTGACACTAGGGTGGGTGGCAGAGTGAGTTCCAAGACAGCCTGGACAACAGAATGAGACCTTGTCTTAAAAACAAAAACAACCAAGCAAACAAATAATGACAAAAGAAGCCATGTTAACTAAAAAAAAACCCTACATGATAGTTATAGATTTTATTTTTCTTGTTTATAAGGGATGAAAGAAAGACTTAGACCATGTGAGCCCCTTTCCTGGAATGAACAGAAAGAAATGATTCCCATTAAAGTTTTGACCCAAAGTGATACTGATAGAGAGCCCACGATTCTTTGATGTCATATGTATTTTTTTATTCTCCTGTGTGTGTGTGTGTGTGTGTGTGTGTGTGTGTGTGTGTGTGTGTGTGTGTGTGTGTCCAGGCCGGAGGTCAGTATTAGGTGACCTCCTGAATTAGTTTCCACTTTTTTTTCTGAGAGAAGATCTCCCATTGAACCCTCATCACACTGGTTCAGTGGCCAGCAAATCTCCCTCAGCACAATCCTCCTGCCTTTCCTTTGTCTGCACTGAGGTAAAAGGAGCTTGTCTCCATGCCCAGCTTTTACACGGGTGCTAGAGACATCTGTCTGTGAGGGTATTTCTAGAGAGGGTTACCTGATGAAGACGACTTACTCTGAATGTGGGTGGTACTGTGCCCTGGCCTGGGATACCGGACCGAGTGAAAAGGCAAAGAGGAGGAAATGAGCCATGCACTGGTGTTTACCTCTTCCTGCTTCCTGACCAGGGGGCATTTCTGCACCATAGCTGTGAGCTGCTTCTGCCACCACGTGTGTCCCTGTGATGGCATTTGCTCTCCTGAATCTCCGGTCCCAGTAAATCTGCCCTCCCCTGAACTTTGTTTTATTAGGTATGTGGCCACAATGATGAGAAAGGGAACCAGTAGCAGCAGTCATATGTAAAGAGAGCTTTGATCCTTGGCCAAGCCCATGCCAGGATGAAGGTCTCACGAAAAAGATCATGCCCTGGAAACAGAGAAAACAGGGTTAGATTTGACTCTTGTGAAATCAATTTGCTTTCATTTTCTGTTTTCGTTGACTTTGTCCAAATAAATTGAGCAGCAGAAAAAAATACTAAGGGAGTAGAACCTGGAAAGGAGGAATCCTGAGCACTATAAGCTAGCTGAGCCACGTCGTGTAAGATCTGTGTTCTGGTTTACAGTATATTTTATAGTGTGTGAGCATGCCAGGGCTCTATGCTTTACCATGGCTGGATATCCTTTCTTAAATGTTTTCCTTTTAAGTGTAACTCTCCAAATGTGCCTTTACCTTATTATTACACAATGTGTGTGTGTGTGTGTGTGTGTGTGTGTGTGTGTGTGTGTGTGTGTGTGTGTGTGAAGGGTGGAGGTCACAGGACAACTTTGTGGATTTTCTTCTGTCCTCCTACTTTTATGTGGGCTTCAGAGACTGAACCTGGGTGTCCAGGCTGGTGAGGCAAACACCTTTACCCACGAGCCATCTTACCAGCCTGCTGCTTCTTAAAATTGTATCCTGGCTACTTCTTACATAAAACATTGATCGTAACATGATGTAGCACCATGATAAATGCAAGATTTTACATATGCATTTGCATATGTGTATCAATATTGACATATATATTCATGATACATTATCTTATACAGCTGTAATCTTTATATATCTAAATATCTCTATTAATATGCATACCCATGTCGATATTATTTTATAAGATTATAATAGTATTACCATGTATCAACTTTAATACTCTGACACTTGTACTCTGAAGATCATGGCACAATTTTGTTAAAGATTCTTCAGAGAGCTTTTATACTAACTCTTTCTTCAAAGATCACATTGGAGAGGCTTTTCCTCCTGATCTATCACTGTGAAGGATCCTCAGAGAAGCATGCCCTCCAACTTGTCTTAGAAGATATGCATTGTTTTGATTACTATTTCCAAAGAGTTGGCATATCTTTATAAAACCTTAAAAATACTATGCCGCTTTCCAGTAGCTTGGAATTTCTGCAAGTTAATAGATCAATAGGAAGATGGAGTTTAGATCAATAGGAAGATGGAGTTTTCCTTTTTAAAAATATTTAATTATAATTTGTGTGTGTGTGTGTGTGTGTGTGTGTGTGTGTGTGTGTGTGTGTGTGTCTATGTCTGTGTCTGTGTGGGGATGTGTAGTGCAGGTGCCCACAGAGTACAGAAGAGGGCATCAGATCCCCTAGAGCTGGAGTTCCAAGTGGATGTGAACTGCCCAATATGGGTGTTTCGGCTGGACTCTGATCCTCTGCAAGAGCTGTTCATGCTGTTACTGATGAGCTATCTCTCCAGCCCCTGGAGTTCTCCTTTTTAAATGAATAATTAAAAGCCAGAATTTTCTTTGATATGTTAGTGGTAAAGTTAATTAGCGCCCATGACTTACAGCAAAGTATAATGAAAGTGACATTGAATTGTAAATTATAAGACAGAGTTATGTGTCTCAACTTCAAAGTTTATTTGCTCTTTGACCTTGGGTAAGAGCCTCTCAGCCTCACACAGCCGCTGAAATGTGTGGCTAATCATACCTTGGCTGCCTGCATCCTCAGTGTTAAGATGAGACAGTGTGTGTGTGAAAATGATTGGGCAGCTCAGAGATGTTGCTATTGTGATTAACAGTGCATGCCAGTCACCGTGCTAAGTGTGTGTATAATTCTTCTGGTGGTTTTATGGTGTAAGCAACATAAACACTGTAACTTTACAGATGAAAGAGAGGAATAGGGAGCCAAGGCACTTCGGTGAATGGGAAGGGCAAGCTTTGAATCCAGGACTAACAGTAGAACCCAAGCTCATAAATGCACAACTTTTATCTTCCATCTGAACAATATTGCTTATGTAGTCTTCTGTGTGAACTGTTGAGGCAGGACAAGCCTAATTCTCCTTATTAATACACCTGAATTCTAAGCAGGAAGCAAATGATGTTTGTTTTTCTTTGTTATTTTTTGTTTTCTAAGACTTGACTTCCACAGAGTCCTAACCATCCAAATGTTTTATTTTCTCAGAATTTAATTGTCCTGAACCCACTCACAGTGAAAGAGGAAGAAATAAGACCATCACTGGAGAAACGCCTAGAGGCCATCATCAGTGGGGCTGCCCTGTTGGCTGACTCTTCCTGCACCAGAGACTTCCACCGAGAGCGGATTATCGCTGAGTGCAATGCCATCCGCCAGGCTCTCCAGGATCTGCTGACGGAGTACATGAACAACGTAGGTGACGGGTTCCTTCTCCTACTTGCATTTTCCTGGGATGATTTTGAGCATTTGCTGGGCCGCTTTTGTGTATGAAAAGTGTATAGTCACCTACAGAGGGAGTAGGTGATTTTATAGAAATTGACATTGAGAGTGGGTTCTGTGAGTTTTTCAGGAGGAAGCCTAATTTTGAGAGCTTGGAGGGTTGAAGTCAGAAACAGAGAAGTATTTGTACGTGGTTGGTTGCTTGTAGACGATCTAAATCTCAGTTGGAGAGGCAGGGTTGGAGGAACAAAACAAGCACTGAGCATTAGTTTAGAGGGTCAAAAGCAGAGAGAGTGGTGTGCTGGCTGCAGTAGCATTGGCAACAAAGGGACACTTGAAGTTAGAATTCAGGTGGTATAAGATACGTCAGTGACGTGGAGGTCTGGAGCTGTATTTGAAGAGGTAAAAAGCCCAGGCAGATTGGAAGGCATTTTGTCTTCTCCCCATGGGATATGGTGCCATAAGATTCCCTGCTGGGAGGATCCACTCAGAAAGTTTGAAAATGCTGACATTATAAGTATTTGTTTCAAGGTCCGTTTTGTTTGATTCTGTACTGTATATATATATCCTTTGATGGAGCACCTGTTACCAATGTTCACTTCAGATGCCATTACTAAAACAGACAAGAGGATCTCAGGATAACTTAGCTATACAGTCCTCCCTGTATATCCATGGATTCGATCCTGTGGTTTTAACTCCTTATAGCCAACTGTCCACTGAAATAATTACATGTAAAATTAAAAAAAGCTTATATTTTAAAATAACTTCAATACAGTATGTTTTTATTTTTCTATATACAGTAGAATTTTATTATTCTATATAATTTGTTTTTCACTTTTTTTTTTACTATTCTTAAAGTGTAAATAAAACTGTCATGGTATGTCTATATAGGAAAAATTGTATATTTCAAGTACCCACTGGGTATTATGGAATGTATCCCTTACAGATGAAGAGAGAATATTATATATTAATCATGAAAACTTCTTAAATCATTGAATTACATAGATGTATTAAAACATTTTGTTTATCTACCCTCTTTTAAGTGGAGCAATTCAAGATATATACAGATATGTTTGGGCAATTATTAATTGTGCAGCATATGACTTTTTTGGTTAAGACATGGGAAGCCTGAGATTGCTTGTTCTGAGTCTTTAGGTAGATAAGTGAAATGTCCTAAAATCAATAAGTTTTCAAGACCCTTGAACACATTTGATGTATCTCTGTATTCTTAATATTTGATGATTTGACTGCTGACCCAAAAGCTCTTTCCTATCAAGAAATAAAAGTTGAGAAGCAGATTTTGTTAATAAGAAGAACATGTTAGTAATGTCATGTCCTGCTTGAATATCTGAAGCGAGGGTGTTACCATTTTTAGCATATGAGATTTTTCTTATTAAAGATTGCTCAGGGCAGTTCATCAATCACAAGAAACCTAGAAAGTGAAAAGTATTAAAAATATTATTCTCATCCTCATAAAGTGTATTAAAGTCATACATATACTTATTTTGCATATAAATTATGAAATCATAGATAAAGTTCACTTTATTTACAATAGAAGGTTGCACTCATTATAGATATATAGATTTATAAACTAATACACTAACCCGCACAGATTTAGTAGTGATAGATTCATGATTTGTGTGGTCTGATACAAAATGAAAATGAGACTGTTCGTATTTAAAACACACAGAGAAACATTTTTCCAGTCACTTTTAATACATGAAACAAATCTTTATTTGCTACTTAATGTTGTTTCCCAGAAGGTCAATCTACCTGTGGAGTGAGAACACAGAACCTCGAAGACATTTTGGTCCAGGCCCATGATCGTGAACTACCTTCATGGTTGCCAAGGTCACCTTCTGGAGAGAAGGGCTGTGGTATTTGATGGTACAAAGCCTGTTCTTGGCAATCTGTCTCAGAACATTTCTTGTCAGTTCAACGAAATATGCCTAGACATATTTCCTGGTCCTACTTAAATATACATATTCCAAAATAAAATTGCTAAGTTTTTTGAAGGCTACTGGAGCAGAGTGTTTAATCCATTGGGATCCCATTCTAAAGATTTATTTGTTTTTGTTTTTTGTATATGAATGTTCTGCCTATATGTGTATATTTACCACATGCTTGCAGTTCCCATAGAGGCTAAAAGAGGGCGCCAGGTCCCCTGGAACTGGAGTTACCTATGGTTGTGAGCTGTCACAGGGGTGCTGGGAACTGAAAACAGGTTCTCTGCAAGAGCATTAAGTACTCCTAACTGCTGAGCCATCTGCCCAGCCTCCTTCATCAGTTCTCACAGACAGGAATATTCTTTGTGGGATGGGGCTGAGTTCAAACCTCACTCAGTTTATACAGCATCTTCAGGAGAGCTCTGGTACTCTGAAGAATACTCCATCTTCCCTGATGGACCTGCTTTGGATCCATCAGTACCTTTTGTAATTGAGCTGTGCTGATGAAGACCCCACTTCAGGACATGCATAGGAAAGGTTCTTTGCTTTTACAGACTCATACAACGAGAAACGGCCCAGTTAGATTGCCCAACCTTACAGCGCAGGCACAAAGACAATCACAAAAACTTCAAGTGTCGTTAATGCTCATCAGTGTCCATAGATCTCTTAGGCGAATGTTCCATCAAGGCTCAGCTACACATTTAGTGTCTGTTGAGTCCAGATCAGATCAGCCGTGTTACATGACTATTTCAGATTCAGTCCATCCGAGCACATGGCTATTTTGAGTTGAAATAACCTTCTTTTAAAAACCAGGAAGTTTGGACTGTATTTGTCATGGAATCTCTGTATATGTCTTGTCACATTAGGAAGACATTTGCAATATGCATGTCTCATGTGTGTGTGTGTGGGGGGGGTGGTGTGCAGGGAGAGGAGAGAAAAATAAACAGAGAAAAACCGAGAGCAGACAGACCGTAGTAGTTTTCTATTGTAGCTGTAGCAAATCACCACACACTTAATATCTTATTGTTGTTGTTGTTGTTGTTGTTGAGACAGGGTCTCACTTTGTAACCCTGTCTGTCCCAGAACTCACTCTGTAGGCCAGGCTGACCTTTAACATACAGAGATCTGCCAGCCTCTGCCTCCTAAATGCCGAGATTAAAGACGTGTGCCCTCAGGACTGGCAGAATTAATGTCTTAATTATTCAAATTCCTTAGCAGCTTTGCAGGTGAAAAGCCTGGCAAAGGTTTCACTGGGTTAAAGTCATCATGTTGGAGGGCTGCATTATTTTCTGGAGCCCTGGGTAAGGATCCGTTTTGTAGTTATTTCTACCTTGTAGATGACATGTTCATTGCTTTACTCACGGTCCTCTTCATAGCTAGAAGTGCTGTGTGCTTCTAACTTTGCTTCCTGGACACACTTGGAAAGGAATCTGCCACTTAGAGTTTGCATGTTTAGATGAGGTCCACCTAGACTGTCCAGGTTCATCACCCATCTTAAGACCCTTGACCCCGCAATCCCATTTTTAATGATAACATCCATAGGTTATGAAAATTAGGAAGTCACCATTTCTGGAGAACTCACCCCAGCTGCCAACATCAGTCTTTAGTCAATTGCGCAATTCTTTTCTTTTGAACCCACTGTAGGAAATAGACCTCAGATTCTAAAGTCTATGCAGGCAAATCACATGCACATTTCGTTTGTTTTTATCCCAAACACCAGATACAATGCCTGGCATTTAGAAAAAGCTGAGTTGCATTTTTAAAAGGAAGAATGAATAAAATGATTCCATACTGTATATGCCATGTAATAAGGAAACAACCTCTTTGACAATGAAATGAGTTTTCAGGCACCTACTGAGTTTATATGACAGAGCTCCTGTGGCAAAACATCTTCTTTTGCAAAGTACAGCTTCTTCCAAAAATCTGTGTGAATCTCCAGGAACATTTGTTATTTTTTTTTCAATCATAGTCCCACCATTTGGATTTGCATTTGGCCATGTTCCAATGTAGGATTTTCCTTCATTTGAAGACATACTCCAGAGAACACTGAGAATCAAAGAAAACATGACTTCTCTCTCTTAAAACCTGGGAGTAGATATTCCTAAGATATGCCTGCTGGCTTTGTTATACTTCCATGATTGGCTAGGTCTAGTTCATCACTTTGGAAAAGAATACACTTCCCCAATTTTTCAGACTGGAGCAAAACTACCCTCTAAAGAGAGAAAGGCCACAGGGGAATGACTTTTCTTTACATGGTGGTCTTTTTATAGCTAATGGAAATAAAGTTTTGAAGATGACTAGTTTGAGTTTTAAGATATCAGCAGTCACAGGTGTTTTTGGGGGAGTGTTAAAATCATGTTGGTGTTGAATATTGGATGCATGGCTGCATAGGACCTTCAGCTGGTATATGTGAACTGGTAAAGTTAGCACTTAAGCGATTCTTAACTGTAGAGAAATTTTAGAGCGCCGAGTGAGAGATGTTGCTGCCAGAATAAACGAGTCAGACCTGAGCTTCATTTAAGGACTAATTTATGTTTCTATATGTGAAAGCACACATTTAATTCTCATTGTTTAGAGAATAAATAATCAAATGGACTGGCTTTTGGTATTCAGAAATCAATTTCATTTGTCTGAGTTTAATGCATTACCTATCTTGGGAAGCTCTGATGCTTTAGTTAAGCCTACAAAGAGATAGTCTTCGATCCCCCTTTACTTATACAATCTCTACTCCTGTCTTGAAAGTCCACTTTGGAAACGATCTCTGCCTTAGCTAATTTCTTCTAAAAAAGTGGCTAGGAGTGTCTGTGAGAAATGGCTGTTAGGATTAAAGGTTTTCTAAATGTAGAGTTAGGGAAAGGGCTCAGTTGGTAACGTGCTAGCCGTGGAAGTGTGGAGACCTGAGTTGCATCCCTTAGGACCCACATAACAAAGCCAGGAGTGGCAGCATGCCCTTGTGGTTTCAGTGCTGCAGAGGTAGCAGCAGGCCTTTGCTGGCCAGAGAGTTGAGCTGAGTCAGCAAGATTCCTG